CCCCCCCTTTTTTTTTTTTACACAGAGCGTTGTAACCCTAACGAAATTCCATGAATATATTTTACACAGGAAATGAACAAGTTCAGTCTTTTTACCCCCCCCTTTTTTTTTTTTACACAGAGCGTTGTAACCCTAACGAAATTCCATGAATATATTTTACACAGGAAATGAACAAGTTCAGTCTTTTTACCCCCCCCTTTTTTTTTTTTACACAGAGCGTTGTAACACTAACGAAATTCCATGAACATATTTTACACAGGAAATGAACAAGTTCAGTCTTTTTACCCCCTCCCCCCCTTTTTTTTTTACACAGAGCGTTGTAACCCTAACGAAATTCCATTAACATATTTTACAAAGGAAATGAACAAGTTCAGTCTTTTTACCCCCCCCTTTTTTTTTTTACACAGAGCGTTGTAACCCTAACGAAATTCCATGAATATATTTTAACACAGGAAATGAACAAGTTCAGTCTTTTTACCCCCCCCCCCTTTTTTTTACACAGAGCGTTGTAACCCTAACGAAATTCCATGAATATATTTAACACAGGAAATGAACGAGTTCAGTCTTCCCCCCCCCCTGCTTTTTTTTTTTCACAGAGCGTTGTAACACTAACAGGAAAAAAACACATGTAATAATACTGAATGGCAGTGAAGTATGAAGAAGTCGGTAATAAGTATTTCTTGAAAAGTGCTGAAGGTTACCACTATATTGTATCGTTTTTGTTGTTTTTTTGTAAGTTTGGAATTTCGATTTTATTATTACTTTACAAGAGTGGTGTGTTGCTAAATTTTATAGCGACGGCTTCCTGCCAAACTTTCTGTCACGCGTTCTAAGCGATCATCAGATTAAAGAATTTATAATGATAGTCTAATTTCCCTATTGGACTTTAAGTGCCGTAGCGTTCCGCCAACACTACGCCTCTGCTCTACGAAACAAGCACAAAATATACATATCAGATAATACAACAGAAATAAAATACTGCCAAGATGGTAATCAATGTAAAAAAAAAACCTAGTTTCCAGGAGTCAAACTAACTCAACAATATTATTAAATTACTTTTACTGTGGAATAACAGTTCGCTTATCATTCACATTTTTCTTAAGATAATTGTGCAATGCCAACAGTTGCGAAAATCATCTAATCGAACTTAATCGACTAAAACCAAATACAAGCATTCCTACCATCAACAGAGTGAATACGATTTTCAATATGTACAATTACTCGCTTGAAGACAATATTATAGTTGTTTGAACAAGCTGCACACAAAGGGAATAAAACTGATATCGCAAAAAACGAAAGACACTACAAAATTCTTACATCTTTGAGCAATTCTCAAAACGAGTTAATAAAGTATAAAACAGGAAAATTTAGGGCAAAGAAAATAAAGATGAGGCGGAAACACAAGCGATTATTCTGGAAGCCAGGAACAGAGAAATTTTAAACTTTATTAAAATCTAAAACCAGACAAGACTGTAAACTTAACAAGTCTTCACCTGTTACAACACATTTTACGCTGATTCTGTCTAAAATTTGAAATTATGTATCACCTACCTTTTGCTATTACGAATATAGTCTAACAGTTAGGAAGGGAGTTGGTGGTTTTCACATTTAAACGTGGACTTCGGTAAATTATTGGTATAATACTAATAATGTAAAAACAAAAATGGTTAACTAATGGCAAGCAGTGTGCAACTCCTTATAATTGTATTAAAGCGAATTAATAAGTTATAATTAAATGTAATATCTCAGTATAGTAGGGAATAATATAATAGGGAGCAATTTTTAGCATTATTGTTGTACATGTAATTGGCCGATACCGTAAGAGGGCGTGCTTTATATTCTCAAATAGACAAAGGGCATTGATTAAAAAACGGGAAAATAAGCATTTCTTTAGGTCAGAAGCTATTGATAACCTAGCCAAACCAATTCTTATATAATTTTGTGTTTGTAAGTTTAAATTCTATACCATACAAATTGTTTATAATGAGCAAATATTTTTGCTAAAACCTCGGTTCACATTTTACGCAATTGTCTTTCTTGCTCGAAAACAAAGCACAACGTACACGTTTTTTTTTGTACACGATACACATTGTTTAGTTCGTCAGGAAACGTTTTTGTTAATATTGTTACTAATTTGGTGTTAATCCTCTACACATTAAGGCTTAGGTAACTTTTGTATTTCCAACTGCGTGTAGAACAACTAAATACATCTGGTAAAAGCTGTTGCTTTATAAGTATAACGACTAATTAAGAGAAAATGGGAACCACGCACCGGTGTTACAATATTCCTGTATTAAAAATTGATGCAAGTTAAATATGCTTAATTTTTAATATATTATTTTTGCACTTCACAAAAATTGCTAGTATATAAATGTAATAGTAATGTGTTTGTTCTGAATACTCTAAAAATAAAATGTACTAAAGGAACTTTTAAGACCACCAAAACGTGAATCAAAAACAATGGCAACGAACTGCGCAGCTTTGATGTAAATGTCCTGTCCTTCACTTAACCCGTCGTAAAATGTAAGGCCCCAAATCCACGGCGTTCAACTGCATATTGCGGCCTTTCTCGTCATACGCGGTCTCATGAAGGCTCGTAAAATAAAAGTTTGACAATAATGTAATGAATAATAAATATATATTTTTATTATTATCATGCCAGTACCGTACGTAAGACTGAAATTGTATTTTGTACTGATTTTTATGTATGATACAAAGATTACATACATTCTTTGATAAATTGTTTAGGCAGAGTATTCCAGATAACATACGTGTTGGATATCCAGAACAAGAAAGTGACCTTAAACCTTTTATATATTTGCTTTTGAAAAAATAAAAACTTTTTTAAAAACCGTTTCTTTCGAACTAACACTGTAATAATCTTGGTGTGACTACAGAAAAGTTGTAAACTAACGCAAGTTCTGACTGACCCCAAATACAGTATCATAACATTACAACCAGTTTTAGAAAATACACAGGAACTGCACCTCTCTGTAACACATTCAGTTCTCTGCAGTATAACTAAGGAACATAAAACAAAACTACCGGTAAACTATTTGCAAAATATTCGAAAAACGCCTACGAGGAATTGCTTCTATAACAGTACAAGTATTTTGTATGATTACCACTGGCCCTAACAGTAACAAAAAAAAAACAAAAAAAACTCAAACTAACATTTTATAATGTGGTGCTGGTTTACTTTTGAAACTACTCTTTCTAAAACTACATTCTGCGCAAGTGTGTTCCTTTTGTTTTATGACATAGCCGTAAGTTTAACAACAAACAAAACGCTATTCATCTTGTATCTCAAGCTTCAGATATTATGAGAATGAAACACCATCTTTACAAAGGTAAACCTTGTTGAAGAAGTATTTCTGTCCCAAAAACAAAAACTATAGTTATAAATAATTGTTACACAAATGTGGGTTTTCAACTTCTAAACAAAACTGGTGATAATAGACCTTTAAATAGCTTGTCATTCTCCAGTAAAGCTAGGCCTCGTGACAGTCGCAAACACTTCGTGCATTCAGAATATGTACACAAATGTCGACAGGTGACTAACGAGGAAGACTGTAACAGGCACATTTGTTTCAAAAGATGATGATCGTGGGTGGACATGCGCGTAGATACAAACAAGGTGAACGACCTTTATTCGGATCGATTAAGATGATTCAAACCCCAAGACAAACTGAACAATCTAGAATTTAGAAAGGCCATCAAACGAGTTTATAAAGGCCACTATACTGGATTATATAAACTGCATAAAACAAACTTATTATGTCTCCTTCTACAGAAACGAATAAAAAATACGGTCAAGAAAAAAAAGTATTAAAAAAATTACAGTTTACGAAATCAGTAACTTCTCAAACTTATCTCATACAACTACATTTTGTAACTGGGCCAATTAATAAAGAAAAATAAAGCATTTTTTAAAAGTTTAACACGATTACATTTGAATTTGATATAATCTTCACATGTGGTAAACATAACGTTCCCAGTGTTTACACAATTACTGCAGTTAAACAAATGTGGCAACAAGAGCTTGGAATCAGGCAAAAGAAATGATATGAAATATAACATGCCCCCCCCCCCCAAAAAAAAGGATCTCTCCTCAAGTTATAAGTTAATACAAAGTACAAATCTTTAAAACCATCAAACATACTTGACCTAAATGAACAGACACCATGTTGTCATATCTTTATATACATTTTGGATTCAGAATTTTGTAGTCACTGAACAAAGCTATGGCAAAGTCAACGAAGTATTTACGGAAAGTAAAATTTTGAGTCAAACCGCATAAATTACCGAAACTTATTTGTTTACTAGCTTGTGATTTAAAACAATAAATATTAAAGATTGCTTACCTAATCATTTGTAGAAACTTGCATATTGATTTCTAGTTTAAAGCTGCTTTACTTAAAGGAGAACTACTAGTACTACTACTGGCATGGTTTCATGATTTTCGTTTGGCTTCAACACACAGCTTAACCATCAATCACTGTTATCACAGTAACTACCACTCACCTCCTTTGACAAACAGCCTGGCGAGAAAGAAACGACCTTGACGCAACCAACATGGCGGCAACTTCACTATCGGTTAGTGGGTACATATACCGCGTGGCTGAAAGAAGTCGTGTCACTATGTCTGTACTTCTTTCACATTTACGTCTTGTCCGTACACCGGCAGCAACATTATTTCAAGTGAACCAATTTTTTTTTTTTTCATTAATTACATGATGCGTTCTTCTTGACTCAAGCAGGCCACAAAATAACATTTCTTGTCAAAGAAATATCGCTTCCCCTTCTCCCTCCCCCATCATTCACAAACACTTAATTGGCATATAGGCAGATTTTACTGTCACTTGACTATACAATAAACTGCCTCACTGCAGATTATCTCGCGCGCTTGCGCATATCACGTGCATCGCTACTCTGCATAATAACTTCGTATCGCCACCCTTGTAGCCGTAAGCATCAAGAAGTGCCTCACGGATTGGCTGAAGAAATAAACTTCTGCCGCAGGGCGGAGCTATTGCCAGGAATTTTAGTTTGAGCTCGATTTTCTGCAGTTATCAGTATTGAGATTGTTCGTGATGTTCGGTAGTAAAGAATCAGTTTCGCGCGGGTAGAATGCTAAAAATTTGCAAGTGTTCGTTATGAGTTTTATTTTGATGCGTGTGAAAAAAAAATGTCGATTTCTATTGACGAATCTCGTGGTGCACGTTATAGCATCTCCATTTTAAAAATACAGATTAATAAAAAAAAAAACAACATTTTTTCTATGTTTCTTTCTGAACTTCAAAAAACTTAAGCCTAACAAAATAACTTTGAAATATTATGGTAGCCGAAACGTTTTTCAAAAAGCAGCTTAATTAACCAGTTTTGGTTGTATTTGTAGTATAGTTTTGCAAATCGATAGCCCCCCCCCCCCAGTGGCACAGTGGTATGTCTGCGGACTTACAACGCTATAAACCGGGTTTCGATACCTGTGGCGGTTAGAGCACAGATAGCTCATTGTGCTTTGTGCTTAACTTCAAACAAGCAAACCGAGATTAATTCGTGGAAGCCTTCCACCGGGAGACATGACTTAAACGACTTTAGGGTTACCTTTTTTAATCCATGAACATGCTTTTTAAAGGAAAATTTCTGATCTTTAAAAGTAACTATGTTTCATTTTATTCTCACATTTTTATTTAAATTTTCAACTGATAATCAAAGATAACTCGGTCTTAATAAATATATAGAAGGGACAAGTTAGAAATTTAAAGAATATTTACTGGACTCTTAAGTTTTAAGGTTACGTGCTAGTGGATAGTTTAAGGAGGACTTACCCCCTAAAGAAATTTGAAAAACAAAAAAGACGTAAATTCGGTTCCTTACCTTACTTTAATGGATTAAACATTTTGTTTTCCTTTTTAAAAGAAGGAAATATAATGAATACATCTTAATATTAAATGTTACTTTAACTCGTCAATGCAAAACACCGAGCAGTCGAGCTTGAGGTTAAGACCGAAACTTCATGGAGTGATATTCCTCTCTACAAAACTTATATCAACACACAAAAAAAGAAAGCTTCCTAGAAAAGAACAATTAGGAAAACTGACCTAAAAGTAATGATATCAGAACTAGGTGATTTAAAGGGTATTAGTATTAAGTAACCGGAGAAAGATTTGTTTGTTTTGAATTTCGCGCAAAGCTACACGAGGGCTATCTGCGCTAGCGGTCCCGAATTTACCAGTGTAAGACTAGAGGGAAGGCAGCTAGTTATCACCACCCACCGCCAACTCTTGGGCTACTCTTTTACCAACGAATAGTTGGATTGACCGCATTATAACACCCCCACGGCTGAAAGGGCGAGCATGTTCGGTGTGACGGGGATTCTAACCCGCAGATTGCGAGTCGAGCTCCCTAACCACCTGGCCATGCCGGGCCATCCGGAGAAAGAACTGGCAAGATATGTGACTGAAAGTCATTAACTGAGTTTGTGTTCAAGTAATTTCATTGGCATACACATTTAATCATGTTTGACATCAAGTTCAGATCAATTGGGTCAACATAAACAAAATGGAGGACATTTACAGTGTCCTGCTCGAGTGGTGTTGTGTACAAAAGAAAATATTTTTGCATATCTAAATAAAATTATTATGAAAAGCCATTCGAAAAAGTTGACAACTCTTACGAGAATTTCAAGTAGGTCATTATTATATTTGAATATTTACAGTATTATTAACTTTAGGGGACAAAATAAATCATATACTGAGAAAAGCTGAAAAAGGCCAGAATTTCCTCATCGTTTATCACAAAATTAAATCCAAAGTTTTAACTAGTTTTTAACAGAAAAGCATTTTCACGCAGTACTTCATGACATCCCAAAATACCTGAGCAACACAAGTTGTGGTAGTTTGAAATACGTGGGTCAAGGGTCAAGAAACCTATGTGAGCATAATGAGACTAAATGACATACTACTGTGAATATAATATGATAGCGAAGTTGAATCATTTAAGAAGAGTTTTTCGTGTATATGGCTTTGTTGTATACTTGTTTGTTTGTTATGGATTTCGCGCAAAGCTACACGAGGGCTATCTGCGCTAGCCGTCCCTAATTTAGCAGTGTACGACTAGAGGGAAGGCAGCTAGTCATCACTACCTACCGCCAACTCTTGGGCTACTCTTTTACCAACGAATAGTGGGATTGACCGTAACATTATAACGCCCCCCACGGCTGAAAGGGCGAGCATGTTTGGTGTGACGGGGATTCGAACCCGCGACCCACAGATTGCGAGTCGAGCGCCCGAACCACCTGGCCATGTGTATACTTGTTATATATTTTATAATGCATGAAGCGTATTTCATTTCATTTACTATTGCGCTTGTTTTGAAGTTTTTTGTAAATTTTTTTTTGTTTTAATTATTACAAATATTCCAAAGCAAACCTACCTACTAACTTTGTTTATGTCAAATGTATAAAGATTATTTATTGTTATTAGTAGTATCCCTGAAATTTAAAAACAACAACTAAATAACTGATTAATATAGAAAAATGACAAAAAATAGATAGATAAACGAAGAGTAGATGGCTCTTCGTGTAACTTTGCACAACATTCTGAACCAAACGAGCCAGGTTTGGGGAGTTTTTACAGAATAAAAACGAAGGTCATGAAGACTTCTTGATATGTAAAACAAATATAACATAAATCTAAATTCATAAAAAAATTCTAGACTTCATAATGTTTTGTGTAAATTAAAATAATTGGATAGAATTCCATGATCTGAAGATTGCTTGTAATCTTCCACGGTAAAAAAATGTTTAAAAAAAATCAAATGACACAAGGTTCATTTATGCCCTCTAACGGAAACGTAAACAAATATATATACGTCACATGAGTGGTATTTTAGGCAACAACACTAAAAAAACAGTGAAAAACACAGACAAAGAAAACAAAAAGTACAAACTTCAGTGTGAAATGGATAAAATTTACCTGCGTAAGAAAGGAATTCACTGTGTGTATGACCGACTTACATTAGTTAAGCCTTTGTTAAGTACGGCTTATATTCGATAAAAACATAAAATAACACTGCAACTTGTTTACGTTTTTCGCTTTAGTTATTTAAGGCTAGGCTTTACCATACTTAATACTATAAATAAATAAACTTATGAAGAGGAACACAGTGTAGTAGAATGTTAACAGACAAAAATAGGAAAAATGAAACTCAACTGTGATTGAATAGTTATATATATTGCTATATGTTAATTATTGCCTATGCTATAATTTAGGGATGATACATATACCATCCATGCTAGCTTGTTTACCTTTTTTTGAAGGATTAATATTAACCATCCCTACATATACTTCTTTTTTTGAAAAGTTTTTTTTTTCTTTACTTGTTTTTTTTTAATGCAGTGTCTCAATAGACACAGGAAGGTTGTATTTATAACCAAGTTCTAAATACAGTGGGGTTCCAACTGTAATATTTATTGTTTATCTATTACTGGATGGTAATTCTTGTTTCATCATGTATTAATATTTTTTAAAGAAACACCAAATTTCTGTAAGATAGCCAACTTCAAGGGGTAATGATAACATCGTTTACACTAGAATTATGATTTGTTTTTTGTTACTGCTAGTTATTAATAATACTTATAAAAGCGGATACTCTGTATGAAACTAAGTCATCTCAGTGAATTGGGTTTACACCATTGTTTTGGTTTTTGAGTTATTATGTAATAAAAAAAAAGAAGAACAAGAAATTCAAACTTTTTGCTATGATATTTACAGACATTCCCAGAACTTGTGATTCAGTCATTACATAGATATTGTTATAAAAGGAAACACTGTATAGTATTATAAAGTTCTGATGACCTATTGAGGAGGTATTTAAAAAACCATTTCGATGAACAATCTGAGCCATTCCTATATAGGCAGTGCCACCGCCTGTTTGAAACAATCTGAGCCATTCCTATATAGGCAGTGCTACCGCCTGTTTGATATGTAAAATAAATCAAAATCGTTAATAACTGACTCTAATGAAAACTCAAGACAAAATTTGTTTGACACACTTTCTCTCTGACTAACTGAAGACAGAAACTGAACAGGTACTTTTCCATTTTCTTTAGTCTGTTGTCACACACAAGTGGTGTTGGTGTGAAATCTACACTTTTGTAAAAAAAAAATATCAAAATTAATAATTATAATAATAGCGACTTCTGATCAAAGCAAGCTACCTTCATAGAAAAATCAACCTAGGTCCATTAGTTTTCCATTATTTCGGCGTTTAAACCGTAACCTATTAATTAGTATAGCTAATTAGTACGCTCTTGTTATTTATAAAGATTATAACGCTTTGTTGTGTACCCTCGATGTTAGCGACATTTTCGGCTTTAAAAATATTGTATGAAATCGTTATTGTGTATTAATAGTGTCTACTTAATGAGTCACGAGAGGAAAGAAAAGATTAATGATTCTGTAATACGTATAGAATTTTAATTATTAACGATGGACCTAAACGAAATCCGATTCTGACATCGCAATGATAACGAGTCTTTGTTTGTTTGTTGTTAAACACAAAGCTACACGATGGTCTATTTGTTCAGTGCCCATCACAGGTATCGAAACACGATTTTTTGCGTCGTAAGCCCAGAGTTACTGGAGGGCAAACAACAACTCGGAGAAATAGTTTGTTAGGTTATTTTTCAACATTAAGAACAGTTTGTGTTTCATCTCTCAACATTGTAAACTTTCAAAACGGACGTTGAGTAGAACGTACCCTATTTTTCGGTGTAAAGACGCACTTTTTTACCCCAAAATTTTATCTCAAAATCTGCCTGCGTCCTATACATCGAAGGTATGAATAAT